AGCAGGCGGGGGGCGTGGGCGGCGGGGGGCCGGGGGGCGGCGCGCGGCCCCCGCCGGCAGCCGGGCCCTCAGTGCCGCTCGGTGCCGCGCTGCCCAGGCCGCTCATGGCGCTCTGCATCTCCGCCAGCATCCGCTGCTTCTCCCGCTTGGGGATGCGGCCGAAGCGCACGGCTGCGGGGAGGGACGGGGAAGGTGTTAGCACCTATGGGTGATACCCCCTGTGCTGCAGGTCCGCGGGGGCCCCCAGGGCACGGACATGTCCCTCGTCCCACCCAGGGGGTGCAGGCAGCCCCAGCACGAGGGATCCGAGGGGTGCGCGCTTGTGCCAGCCAGCACGCACAGCGAGCAAGTGTGCCTGGAAGCATGCAATAGTGCCAGGAAGCTGCACAGCATGCAATAGTGCATGACTGCAAACAGCGGGACCGATCCCAGGGGACATGTGCAGCACCAAGCAGACCTGGAGCACCCTGCAAGCCCCGCAGAGCCAGGCCCAGGCATGGCCAAGGGACACCCTGCAGCACCGGGAGAGGACAGGGGACAGGGGACAGGCGTGGGTGCCAGGGCAGGGCCAAGGGACGCGGCGCTCACCGTCACGGGACATGCCGACCAGCAGGCACTTCTTGAAGCGGCACTGCTGGCAGCGGTTGCGGTTGATGCGGACGATGGAGCAGTTCTCGTTCTTGAGGCACTTCTTGTACTGGATGTTCTGCTGGATGCTGCGGCGGAAGAAGCCCTGCGGGGCGACAGGGGGGTCAGGGGGCTCCAGGGACGTCGGGACTCCCCCCGGCTCGTCTGTCCCCCCACCCGCTCGGTACCTTGCAGCCCTCGCAGGCGTGGACCCCATAGTGGAAGCCGGAGGCGACATCGCCGCACACCTTGCAGAGCAGCACCATGCCGTTGAGCTCTGCGGGGACACGGGTGAGGGGACCGGGGGCATTGCCACCCATCCCACCCCATCCCGTCCCGTCCTGTCCCATCCCATCCCGCCCCACTCACTGGTTATGGAGCCGCTGGCCTTGCTTGGGGAACCACGGCGCCGCTCATCTGCCGGCAGCGCGGCCGGGAAGCTCCCGGTGGAGCCGAACGAGGAGGCCGAGGAGGAGGAGGAGGAGGATGAGGAGGATGAAGGGGAGCCGTCATCGCGGGAGGCCAGCGAGGCGCTGCCGTAGCCGCGGGCGTCTTGCAGGGAGCCGGTGGGCGACGGTGGGAAGTAGGCTGGGAAGGGCTGGCAGGAGCCGTTGGAGCCGTCGCTGCAGAGCGACACGGGGCTCGTGCGGCTCGGCGAGCCGCCGCTCGAGCCCACGTAGCTGATCACGCCGCCTGCGGGGACAGCGCCGGAGGGAGGGTCACGCGTGCGGCCAGCGGCGCCCGGCGGCAGCCCACGTGGCGCCGGCCCCGCGTGGGACGGGGAGCCGC